GTCAGTCGTCGGTGCGGCGTTGTTGCTGTTGCTGTTGTTGCCGTTGCCTCTCTTTTCTATCTATCTTCTGCTTCTCGCTGATCTTTTCTTTCTCATATCTCCCCCTCTTCCCGTTTGCGAGTCGCGCGGATCGATCGCACAACGCTTGCCTCGCAATCTGCGCTGATTGGCGAGATAAAGACGGATAATAAAAAGAAATAATTCACGTTCACTTTTTATTAGCGCGCAGGATACGGGAGAGAGGGGAGGGGGAAGAGATCGCGTTCGCGTAATCAGTTTTAGAAAATTATTACGCCGGCCCGAGTCTCTCTCTCTCTCTCCCCCTTTTCCCTCCATACTATCACATCGATTATCCGTTCGGGCTCGTTCGTCGCGTGCTATTTAAAGTAACGCGGATTACTTGGCCAATTTAGCGTATTTAAATGGGAAATTTTCGTAGTTCGCGCTGCGCCGCGCTCTCCAATTAGCGTTAGCATCTAATGATAAGATACGGGGCTGCTTTCGTCGATGCGTCCCGCTGCGACAGTACGGTAGCAGGCTTGCAATTAAGATATTAAGAACACTTCTTACGCGGATTTACATAATCATAGCCGGCTGTAATTACGTATTTACATAATTACATATATTCCATGCGTCCATTTTCCCCGCCCACGTTTATCCCGCGCTAATGAGATCGACGATAACAATCGACTCGTGTACGATCACCCTTCTATACTTACTATCCGCTTTTTAAATCAGTGTATCGTCCACGAGTTAAGTACCGATGACTACCGGTTTCAGTTCAACACCGGTACGACATCCGAGTCTCCCCCTTTTCTTTTTTTTCTTGATTCGATTTACCCACTCGTCGATCGGGATTAGCGCTGTTAATTGCGCCAAGAGACACAACAGACTTCGACGAAAGAGCGGTCACGGTCTTCAAACGAAGTTTTACTTTTTCATTATTCATTTGCCTGTTCATTGTAAAATCGAGGCGCGAGGAGGAGGAGGAGGAATGCGCGAAGCGGGATTCCGCGCGGTAATTGCCGGCTCTTCCCGGCGAAAGGAAAATCGCGCCAGTTCGCCGGCTCCTTTTCGAAAGCGGCGCGAACGATTTTCGCGCCAGCGCGGAACTGGTCTCGGGTCGCGAGTGAGTTTCCTCGGAAGAGGGCAGAACAAAGGGAAGGAGGAAGACGGCGAAGGAGGAGAGAGGACACGGTAGAGTCGTTCCTCAGTATGCGTTTCGCGGGTTCTTCTTTTTTTTTCGGCCGTCCGTCCGTCTGAGCGAATTATTCGTACTAGCCGCGCGGCAGAGTTCTACGAGAGCGTATAAAAGTAGGCGCACCGAGGTATGGCTCGCTGCACCTTGGCTATGCGGAAAGGAAAGGCTCTTCTCCGACGAACCGAGCGGTGCGGGCGCTCATGCGCGCGCGCTCACGTGCACGCGTATACACACCCACACACGCGCGCTCGGTACACCGAAGGACGCCTCCTTTGCTCGTCTCTCGTCTATACACGTGATCGCACACATATGCCAGCTGCACGTGCACACACACGTACACGCACGTGAAGCGGAGAGCGTTGTAACAGGTTACGAAGCGTGTATACGCGCTGACGGCCACGGTAACACACCCGCGATGGGGATAAAATGCCCGTAAAACACTCCGCTGCACGTACCAGGTGTCCAGAAATCAATCTCGCAGTCCCGAGCTGGACCTCTCGCCTTCCGATCATCGTGGGAACGACGGGAGGGTACGAACGGCCTCTCCTCGGAAGTGTTCGGTCGCGTCGTCGAGAGCGCGAATTATCGTAATTAAAAATTCACGGCCGCCTTTTTCGTACCAACGGAAGATTTGACCTCTCCTCGCATTAATCGTGGGGATTCGAAGAACAAGGCGCGCGCGCGCGCGCGCGTGCTCACACACAGCGATATTATTATAATGCGCCGCGTGTAACGTGTGGTTAGAAAGGGATGAACTTTCAACCTAATAACCGCGAAAGCCGAGTGTGTCGCTGCGAAAGACGAAAGAAGTGATCGCTGCGAAGTTCGAAGGAAGGCGAGGCGCGGGATGGGGGGAAGTGGTCGCTAATACGAGGTGTCCACCTTTATTACACCTCGACAGCCCCGGGGAACTTCAATTATCGCTGGGTGGCGGCGGCCGGCCGCGACCATGTGGGAAAATACTAGGCTAGACGGAGAAAGAGAAACACACGCGCAGACACACTGGGTTGCGCGCACCTCTCTTCAGCTGTGTGAACGTAGCCGGGCGCGAAAGCCGTCGTCGCGATCGAATTCCGGCGAATTCAAGCTCAAGGCGGGGCGCGTTTCTCACGTTTTCGAATTGGCGCAATTGAGTAGAAGTGGTCCGGCGAGATAGGAGAACTCGGGAAGAGTGAGGCTTTCCTTTTTCGATACGCCGCACGGAGCAAAAGTTTCCAATTTATTCCTCCGGTTAAGTAACGTTAGTAAATTACGTTACGTGATATAATAACGTTACCGTGAAATATCCCGACGTCTATTACTATTACGTCGCCCAAATGTTATTTATATTTCCGACTTACTCGTGTATTTTTTCATCAGACCGGCAACGGTACGCCGTGTTACACCGGTCGTTATATAACGATGTGTAAGAATGATATTAACGTATCGTTTCGCTGTGCAAAAAAAATGGCACCGAAGTCACATCATTAACATGTTATCGAGTATATTTACGTTATATCTTCTAACCCACTGTCGAAATTTCAGCGGATATTCACGTCGCGTTCGCGAGCGATTCCCTCGAAGGCATCTCCCGTCGAGAGAGAAAGAGAGAGAGAGGCCCACGGTGAGCGCCCGTCCGCGGCTCCATCGGAGAGGCTCTTCCGCGTCGGCTCGCTTAAAGTATCCTCGGCTCTCTCGGACTCCGGCAATTTCTCGCCGGCACGTGAGCGGACTGTGCAAACTTTGCGGAGCGCGCGTTGCTCTCTCTCTCTCGCGGGGTCCTCCGCGGCCGGTCGGAGGACCTCGCACGGAGGCAGGAGGTTACCGGCGAAGCGGGAGAGCCTCCAGAATAAGTATGCTCGGCTAATAAAACTCGGCGTACGAGTCCGTCGCCGGCGTTCACTTTCCAAATAAACGCGCCTCTACGTGCGGAAAGGCTCGTTCTGTGGGATTTATCGCCGCAGTATCGTCGCTGTCACCATCGTCGTAAACGAGCGACGAGAAACGCGACGACTACGTCTGTCGACGTCGTCGTCGAGAATCGAGAAAGAGAGAGAGAGAGAAAGGGCGAGGCTCTCAGAAGTCGCGTGGTCGTTCGGTCAATTTTCAAACGAGCAAAAAACACCGGGCAGACACTGTTAACAGAAATACATCCCGTCGCGGTGATAATTATTGCTATTGGCGAACAGGGTCGGGTTAACGCGAAGATAAATCGCAACATTATTTTTACAGTGTTAACGAGGCAAGCTCAGGGTAGGGGTTGTACACGTAAGGCCACCTTTGCGGCCACCGTTCGATCGTAAAGCGCTCGAAGGGCTCGCTGAAGCTCGTCGAAAGTACGTGCTGACCGCACGTGCCATTTCGCTCGCGGAATGAAGTCCATCAGGCGGATCACTCGCGCTGCAGTCGTGTGGCGGTTTGCTCTTTTCGCCGATCATTTCGTCGGTTGATTCGACACACGCCGAATCGCACGGTGCCGTTCGGCGGCTCGATCCGCTAAAATGTCACTCGCGAGGCCGGCCTTATGCAACGTAGAAGGAAGCGCGTTATGGTAAGCAAAGGCCAGCAGACGATCCTTTGCGCTTTCTACCTTCGATCTTACTCTTACGGTAATTACGTAGGCTTACGTGCATACACATACGAACGTAGGGGGCACACACGTGCGCGCACGCGTGTGCGCCTACCCGCACCGGCGCGTGATCGTCGCTGTGCACTTTGCGATCCCGTATTTCCACTCGCGTCTATCTTCTCGCAAGTACGCGCGCAACTGTGACAAAACTCACTTTTTCGAGGCACCGGTCTCGTATACGGGCTGCCGCTTACTCGTACCGCTTTCTCGGGATGACGAAGCGTCAAATTAAATTTCCGTTGAAGCTCGCTTAAGGTCGACGGAGAAATTCGTGATTTTACAAACGATTCTGCTCCTTTGAGACGCATCTCGTCAGCCACTCTCCTCGCTTTCGCGAATTTTTCGGAAATTATGGGTATTCCTACGGTCGGGACGGTATCGGCATCAGATTGCCCGAAGAAACTGACGTGCGCAAAATTAACGAGTGTAACAACCCGCGTATTAAATTATTTTTAATTTCGGCTTACGTCCATTCCCGCGCGCGTTTCTTACTCGGATCGCCTCTTATTAAAAACCCCTCGAATGAAGCGAACCGTCGCGTAAGGATTGCGCGCGCGTGCATGTGTGAGAACGAAGTAAAGCAAGTGTCTGCGTAGAATGCGCGATGCGTATCGCGCGTAACGGCACGCCGTATTGGCGCGGCGAACTCGAAAATTGCCCGGCCGCGCGCGATCGTTTCGAAACCTGCCCGATTTCTTTACCGAGATTGGCCCGAAGCTGCTGCTGCTGCTGCATTCGGCGCGTTCGCCCGAGGCCTCTCTTTCTTTCGAGATATTAACACGAGACTTCCGTTTCCACGATACGCAATAACGAACTGTAACCCGAGGCTCCTCGGGGCACCGCGCTCTCGCCGGCTCACAACTCGGGACCGAATTTTACGAGAAAATCTTTCGCAACGCGATATTTTCTCCTCTCCGTTAATTACTTTCGATTCATTTTCCACAATTTACGTAATAGCGCAACGCTCGACGAGCCGTCGCACGGTCGAGCGCCTTCCGAACTTCGCTTCTTCTTTTTTTTTTCTTTATCTGAAGCGTGTGATTTTAGAAATTCCCGTATTATCTGATCGCGATTACGTCCGTACACAGCGATTGTATCGATATATATATATATATATATATATATATATATAGTAACATGATTAAAAAAATTTTATATAGTTATTAAAAGTATCTTTATTTATTGCCGCAGGCGACAACCGCGAGCGGATACTTCGAGGTGCAGATCCTCTCGCTGTCGAACAACAGGGGCACCCTGGTGGACGGTAGGTGTTGCGGCGGGGGAGACGGGGGAGGAGGGGTCCCGCCGTGCACGAAGCCCTGCTCGACAGCCTTTTGGCTCTGTCTCAAGGAGTACCAGTCGAATGTCACTGCCATCGGCACCTGCAGCTTCGGCAACGTATCTAGTCACGCCCTCGGCCCGAACACCTTTACCCTCGCCGAACCTGTCACCCTGCAGCTCCCCTTCACCTTCCGATGGACGGTAAGTCATGTTTCTTGATGATGCGTCATTTTACGATAAGCTAAGGTTCTTGAACTTCGACTTATATTTTTTCAACGACATTTTATTCACTTGTCATGCTTATTTGTTTGTTTTCCCGGAAGTGGTATGGCTCAGTATTTTGAAAAACGGCACGGGTGAAATGTTAGGTTGACTTCAAAGTCTTTTTCCGTAAATACTGAAACAAATTGTGATATGAACCAAGCATTTTTTTCTTTTTTATAAAAACACGTTGACAAATGGAATATGTATTTTACATTGAAAGAAATTATAGCTCTATTTTCGTCCGCAACTATACTTTTTTTTTTAACAAAAACGGTAATAGAAATATGCAGGTAAGATTATTATGACTGAAATTATAGTGAACACTTACTAGAAAAATAGTTCTCCCGACTGTAATTCCTTCAATCGATGATTACCGTTACGAATATACGGTTACAACTAAATATTTTCCTTTCAATGTATGTTGCGGAAAAAGGATCTCTGAATCAACCAAATACGGCGAAACATCATGTCGCGATAAGGCGTTTGCGAAACTGTCTCGCGTCTACGGGTCCTAATTACGTCCACGAATCAGCGAGGCTTATATCGCGCTCTTGTTCACCGCGTGTATTCTCTCCGTGTACCGTTCGCCGGCGTTATTCGCCTGATATACGGAGGTCGCATATAATGTCAGCGCGAGACGGGAATCAGACGCTCACATTTAACGCGTAAACGGGCGTCAAGAGGATATATACGGGCCAAGAGGCATTCCGAGAGTTGTCGGGTTGCCAAAACGTCTCGCGCGGGGGCACCTAATATCCGTGAGAACGCGTCGCCGACGACTCCGAAAATCCCAAGCAGCCAACCGCCGTTACACGAGGCGAGGGGGAGGGGGGGATGACGCGCTTAATTTGATGTCGCGCGATTAATAACGCCGGTGTGCGCGGCGCGGGGCCACGTAATTTTGTTTGGTCACCGGCACAATGGCCGTCGCCGGGCACGAAAGGCGGACGGGCGACGATGAAGACGTAACGAGGGGACGACACGTTTCGGACTCGAATCGGCCGCACGAATCATTTATCATCGACGTCGTAACACGACGCCGAGAGAGCGTCTCATTAGCGACACCGCCCCCCGGAGGGTCGGCTCTGTGTGCGTGCATAATACGTGCATATGCACGTGTACGTGTGTGTCTATCGGCGTCCGCAGTCTCATTTCTCGAGCTGGCCATTCTCGAAATCGCCGAAAGCCGGCCGAGTGAATCGCGAGCGCGCGCCGTTCTTTCGCAACGGCGATGCTAACGACCGCGGCGGTAAAAGTCGCGTTTATAACTTTCCGCTTTATATGTATCGCCGGGCGAACTTCTCGGCCCCGATTCCTTTGTCGAGGCGTCGAAGAGGTTCTCGAATCGCGCGGGGATTTCCGGTCCGCTGGTCTCTCTCTCCCATCCGCGGAGAGTCGTTGCGTAGAATTCCAGTTCGGTTCCAGTCGCTTAGGGCGCGACGAGGAGACCTCGCGCCTCTCCTCCTCCCCGCTGGTCCCTCCCGCTTTTTCTCTCCTGTTGTACCCCGCTTGTATCTTCGCCTCTCCTCTTTCTTCCCTCCTCTTTCTCTCTGTCCTCCACTCGGCGTCTACCTCGGTCGCGCGGCGAATTTTTACGATCGTTCACCCATGCCGAAGTTACACCCGCCGCTTCTTCTGTAGTTATGAATCAGTTCGCTCGGCCGTGAACGACCGGTGATTTTATACGCGAATTTCGTACACCCGTTGTGTATCCGCAGAAAATTGCCGCTGCCGAGAGCGCTGCTACGCGCCGGTTGTTAATCGCCATTCGTTTCCCACATCCTTCGCCGACGAAATAATCGTCCCGCGTATAATAAATCTCGACGCGGAGGCGAGCGCGGGGCGCGAAGACGACGAAGCGAGAGGAAGCTGAGGAAGACGAAGAAGCGACGCTTCTTCGAGAGATACTCCCCCTCCTTCTCACTTGGACGTCGAGTGTTTATCATTTATCGTTGCGACATCGACGTACTATAAATCTCGCTGACCCGCGACGCCACGGAATAGACTCTACTCGTCGCTCGCTGTACCACCACTCGTTGGGAAAATCCCGTCCTTTTCGGGCCTCTGAAGAGTCCATGCACACTTGTGTCCCTCTCTCTCTCTCTCTCTCTAGCGAGGCAACGTCAGTATCTAATTAGTAACGCGCCCACCGCCTACCGTTCGCCGTCTTCGTCGTCCGACGTAATTACAGCATAATGTACGAGCGATTTCGAGAGGGGCCCCAAACAGTCCTCGAGAAAGAGAGAGAGAGAGAGAGAGAGAGAAAGACTGTTCTGGAGTGCGCACGAGGCGTGCCCTCGCGAGAGAGCGCGCGTACACAGAGGGGGACCGTCGAGAGTGCCTTCTTCAGACGATGGTTCGGTGGGTGCCTGACGGGCCCCGAAGGGTACCACCGCGTTTGTTTGACACGCATTCCCGCGAGCCGTTCGAAAGCGCACCCGTGTTGTGCTCATCCACCTCACCTACCTGCTGCCTACACGCCGCGCGTATCGTGGGTTGTTTGAAGAGCGCCACGCACAGCTAGCGTTTCTCTGTTTGTATATTTCATAACTCGCTCGCGAGTGCCTCCTCCGAGAGGAGGTGGAGGACCCGCGACAAAGGACCGGCGAGTTTTGCCCCCCCCTCCTCTATCCCCCTTCTGTCCCTCTCTTCTTCTCTCTTCAAGGATCACCGCGAGGGACGTAAACGGAAACCTCTAAATTGCTTCCTTTCCGCGAAGGGCTCCTACGGTCGTCCGGCCGCGCGCACGCGAGAACTGCATTCGATCGTTTAGCGCTTCGCCGGTCTAATTTAATTATGGCGCCGCGAGTGCATGATAAAAAGCAGCCGTGTGCTATGTGGGAAGCGCACACGTGGGTGCGAGAGTGTGGGCTCTCTCTCTCTCTCTCTCACTCTTTCTATCTCCGTTGGTTACGTACGCGACGGTGAATAAGACGCGGAGGGGGCAAGGGGGGCCGCGGAGATAAAAGCCCGGATGCCTCGGTATCTGACCGCCGCGTTCGCCACGTGTAATAATAACTACGGTGCCGTTTTCGCGCCCGCCACCTCGAAAAACGGTAAACACGGGCTGACTTTCATCGCTTACCGCGGATAATACCGTCATTATCGTTCCCGCTGATTGAATACGGTATATATAATCTCGTCGTCGAAGGCGCGCGAGCGGCGAGTGTGCGCTCGCGCGCTACCGAATGCCACCTGCGTTTAGCGGCTGGCTCGAGAACGCTCGAGAGAGTTACCTTCTCGATGATAGAAATCCTCGGGTGATCCTCGACAGGCTGAACAACGAGTCATCGGTGCCTCGATCGTGCGCGAAGATGTTGCCCGGCGTTAACACACGGTGTTACATCGCGAACCGGCATCCGATGATGACGATTCACCTGCGTGGCGATCGCGAGAATCAAATATGTGTAATGCAGCTCGAAATCGCCCGAAATCATCGCGGCAATTGGGGGCCGTCGAGTTTCCGTCGGATGCGCGGAAAAACGTGCGATATATATATATATATATGTGTTTTCGGCGTCTCGCGTTACACAACGCTGCGGTGAAAAAGCGTCTGCCCTTTCCCTCCGCTCTTTCTCCCGTGCGTTAACTTTCGTTAAGTTACGCGCGCGAATATCTCGCCCGCGATCGCGGAGGAGTTTTCTAATAGCGACCTAGTTTACGCGAACGTGATGCGGCCGCGATAGCCCCAGCCGCGTCAAACGTTGTAATCGTCGTCGACTTTCCCCGCTTCGAATTTCAATACCGATGTATGGGGAGGAATATGGAGAGGGATAAGCACCTCTCTCTCTCTCTCTCTCTCTCCCTTCTTCCCTCCCTCTTTTTCTCTTTATATTTCCTTCGATCTGTCTTTCTCTTTCTCTTCGATAGTGGCATAACAGCACGGGAAGCGATCGGCGAGATGAGAGCACGGCGGAGCTTTTGCACAATCCTCCTCTCCCGATGCTCGTATGCATCTTCGAACGGCACGTTTCGCGTCTCCTTTCTCCGACGTCCTTCCCCCTCGCCCCTCTCACCGTCCTCAACGAGTCGCACCCGCGAAATCCTTCCTCCCGATCGCTCCCTTTCTCCCGCCGTCTCGTGTCTCCTCGCCTTATCCGCCGATCGTTTTCGATAATTTCTCCCCCCGGCGCGTCCGACTAATGCCAATGCGCGAACCTGAGCGCACGATTCATGCAACGCGCGCGCGGCGCATATATACCTGTTCGCCGCGCTTTGTATGCACCGGCACGCACGACCGGCCACTATGTCGACGCGTCGGAACACATATAGAGGGCCGCGCATAATGTCTCCAATCTGGGCGCCACTATGAATGGCGGGGGGACGTCACGAGACGTCGCCGGAATCCACGTGAACGCTGCGGGGAATTGTCGTTCGACGACAGTGCGCGTGTTTAATATTACAGTTTCAAAGGCTCGAGAAACGTCCGGCTCTCTTCGCACTTTCGCGCGGTTTCTTTCCGGCGGATGCGTGCGGGGGGGGGGACAAAAATGGGAAAAAACGGATTTCCGAATTTTCCCACGAGTTTTTCCGAGGAGAAATGAAAAGAAAGACGATCTTTTTAACTATAGAGAATATTCACGTGCTCTCTCTCTCGAGAGCGAGCGGATTTTGCACGAGTTTTTCAGTCTCGCCGAGGGGAGTTTATTGAAGGTTCCCCGCGCGTTGACGCGCGTCCGTTCGCGATGCACGACGATCGCCCGCCGATCCTAATCGACGGCTGGGCATTTCTGCGCTCTCGCGTGATCTCACCATTAGACTTCGGCCGCGGAGATTGCTCCTCGAGCGGCGCACGGCCGCCCCGCGCGATACTTAGACGGGAACAAAAAGGAGGAAAGCCTGCCTCCGGATTGAGTCGGAAACCGTGGCGCGTTTAATCTCCTTTCCCCGGGCGCGTGATTAATCCCGACAATCGTAGTTTCGATAATAGACGTATA